TATTTATTTCACAGTTGCCTTTTTGTTTGGATTTCAGAGAGACTTACTTGGGGAGGCCTCCCCATAATAGCCCAGTGGGAAGAGGATTCCATAGACAGGAAGAGTCACTGGCTGAAGGTCTACCAGGAAGTTCTGTGGTTGAAGGGGTGGGGGGGTGGGGCTTCTTTTCCATATATAGGCACATACAGTGTGTATAACATGAGCATTCCTCACTTTGGACGCAGCCTTTAATAAGCAGGGATACTGAAGAGAGAAGATGGTCTTTCATTCAATACCAGGAACTTCTTGATGGAGAACCTGGAGGAGAAATTCTGCAAGGCAGATGGGAAGAAGAGCCTGTGGGCTGGAACTTGGAGAAAAGTAGCCATGGGCATTGCCCTCCAGCTCAATTGTTGCAATTCCCCCCCCCCCCCAGAGTAGAGACCTGCATATATAACCTTCCCAACTAAAACTGATTTGCAATCTTACAACTACAACACAACCAGCAATGGTTGTCAGTCATTTCCCTTGCAGTTTCCTGCTTCTTCCAAACGTGTCTTCATTTTAAATGGGCGAGGTGAGCCTCAGCCAAGGCAAGAGTTCCTCTTTAGCCTAGACTGCATTTCTTGTGTTCCACCTTCTCATTTTCCTACAGAAAAGGAGGGAGGAGCACCATGGATTCCACCTTAGGCTTCTGAATGAAAAGGTGTGGATGAAATATAAGAAGAGGAACAGGCAGATCCTAGGAAAACTGTGGCAAATGCTGAAGACTGAGTTGGACAGACTCTCTTGCAAACAGACCTTATATTTACTCTGCAATCTTCACTGCTGATTCCTGGAGATATACAATTTTTTCCCCATATTTCTTTCAAATGTTATAAGCTAAAGAAACTGGTTCATCCTGTCACACACAACTGTAGGAACAGCTTTGCTTTTCTGAGACACTTTCAGATGAGTGTTAAAGCTGTTGACACCCTTAGTTTTCCATTTTTTACTTTCAATTTGGGGGGACATGTTTTGGGGCAAAGCTGGAAAGTACACCATTACTTTGTGTGTGGAGAAGTGGCCAGACCTGATCAGATAAAGCAAGGTGTTAGGTTTTACCAGCACAATATTGTGCTGATTGGACAAACCTGACAATAGTTTGATTCAATAAACTTATCTTGGTTTATTCCTGAACTCCCCAATCTATATCTATATCTAAATTTGACATTAGCATGAAAGACATCTCATTTATATCATTGCACTGACATTTTCAATTACTTGCTTGGTTTTGTTTCATGGCACATCCCAGCAGTGTAACTGACTAATTCTGGCCCAGCAGTTATATCTATACAGCAGCTAGGTTTGTTTTCTACTAGCAGGTTGGGCAATTTACTAACCCACCAGAACTTTTTTTTTTTTTTTTTGGGGGGGGGGGGGGGGGGGGGGCTTCAGGTCAGATTGTCAATCTCCCATTCCTATTTTGTAGCTAGCTCTAGAGAGACCCCAGCAGCAACTGCTAATTCCTCCCAAATCAATTTAATTGCAAGTGCAAGACAGCTGTCAACTCACAACAGATTCACGATTTCGTTCTTTTACTGCCACCGGCAATATCCCCCTGTCTCCCCTCTGTGCCGCCCCCGCCCCCCCACCCCCTCAGCTGCCACCGCTGGCTACGCATGGTGAAAAGAAAGCGGTTGCGACGGGATAGCCGAAGAGCCTTCGCTCGGGCAAGAAAAGAACCAGGGTGCAAACTTGAGATCCGTCCAAGCACATTTTGTCCACTGGGGAAAGCACGCACGCTGCTAAAGGTAAAGAGAGCGCGTGCGCGCGCCCCAGCCCACAGGGGGGCGCGCTCTGCCAGGCAGCGTAGGGAGCGAGCGCCGTCCCCCCTCCCCCTCCCCTCCCCTCGGAACTTTGCTGACTGCAAGGTTCTGAAACCGAACGTAGCGACACGCGGGGGCGGAGGCGGCGGAACGTTCGATTCTCCCTTCGTTCCATCCGGCCTGTTCCTCGAGGGAGGGGAAGAGGAAGAGGGGGGGGGGGAAGTACTCGATCCCGGGTCCACGTTCCCTTCTACCCCACCGCGGGAGTCGCTTGGAGGAGGGGAGGGGAAAAAAAAAAAAGGAGGCCTCGGCAGCGCCACCCTCCGGCCGGCGAGCCTACTGCGCCTCCCCCTTTCTCCCTCGCTCACTCTTTCCCCCACCCCCACCCCCACCCCCCCGCTCCGACTCTCAATGTTCCACACTGCCCGGCCACAGAGCGTCCTCTGCTGCTTTATTTCCCCCCCGGCTGCTTCCATCCCCCTCTCCAAGGACATTTTTCTCTCCCCTTCCCTCCCCCCTCCATCCCTCCCCTCCGATCTAACGTCGGGACAGGACGCCTGCGAAGGTAAAGGAGAAAAGGGTTAGGCGGCTGCATCAGGAGCCTGGGCGAGCAATGGTGGGGGGGAGGGGGGAGGGGGGGGGGACGACGGCTGTGTATGTGTGTCTGTATGTGTGTGTGTGTGCGAGGGAGAGAAAGAGAGCGAGAACGAGAGCAAAGCCTCAGTTTCTGCCCTGCTGCTGCAATTTTTTTTTTTTTTTTGACGAGGACCAACCAACCTTTTTCATTTTTTT